TATGGCTGAGTGTAAGAATCGATGGAGGTGTCAATGAATAAAGAGTTGGGTGAGTTTGACGAGGACTGGGTGGCAGGTGGGTCTGGCTTATGGAGCTGGAAAGATTATAGTTCATGCAGATGGCTGGTTTGTTGAGATATATTGGAGGTGAAAAACTGGTCAGTCTTGATTGTCTGAAGGCAGCATGGTTTGGGTTGTTTTTTTTTCTTCTTGATACAGATGTTTGTGTTGACTTGTCTTGCATGGTGGTAGGTTTTGTCTGAGTCTGTTGGTTTCTTGGTTGGCGACGGGTGTTTATTGACAGAGGGATGGGTGTGGCAGAGGAGAGAATATGATATGGGTACAGTAGAGGATGGGCGAGGCTAGTAATGAGGTAACTGTGCTTTGAAGTGGTGATAGGCGAGGAAACACCTGTGTGATAGGATGTAGTTCGCCATCAGTTGGGAGGATGTTACGGTCTCGATGAAGTGAGTTGGTAGTCCTAATTTTGGAAATATTATGCAGTGGGTGGCGTGTATTTTATAGTGGGTGGATGCTTCAAAGGCTAGGATAATTTCTTCAGTTGAGAAATATTGGGGAATGTTTCTTAGGAATACTATATGTAATCTGGAGCTGCTTTTGGGTGATTGACAGTTACAATCAGATTGGAGTTCCATGGTCAGCATAGTGGGTAGAAGTCGTCCAGAGATTTTGGTTGCAGGAGGATACCCTCTTTACGTAGTTTTATGATGAGCTTCAGAAGAACTTTGGATCTTATGACACTGTAACTAACTAACTGACAGGTATTTCGATGAAGTTAATTATTGAAATAAGTAAATAATCATCGGGGTGTTCGAAAATTAATCAATCCTCCTTTGCCCCACTCGAGGATTAGGAATAATACGAACTTGGTATGAGGAAGTAGAAAAGGCTTAAGTGAATACTAAAAATAGGGTTTCAGTGCGAAGCAGAGACAGTGATCATTTCAATAAAATAAACAGCCGATTTAGGACTCAAGTTCCTTCAGGGTAGCGAAGATCTAAAATAATATACCAAAAATGTGATGTGTAGAAAAACGGGAGTACCCCGAAAAAACCACTTTCACTGGTAAGGCACAAATCCATTACCAGTGCCCAGTCGATGAGAAGAAATGTCCTGGAAGGAAACGTGAAACGTGAGACTGTAGAATACTTAGTGCAAGGAGGAATCTCTTAGTCTGCAGATGTTGGTCAGAAATTTATTTGTGTTGGGAAGGGGTCTTATAGGGGTTGAATTTTTTGTGTCACTGGTAGGCGGGGCGAAATATGAGGAAGGGTTCATCGGATAGGTCGTATGGCTGAGTGGAAGAATCGGCTGAAGTGTCAATAAATAAAGTTGGATGAGTTTAACGAGGAGTGAGTGGAAGGTGGGTCTGTCTTGAGAGGAGGAAATGGTGTTAGATAAGACAGGTTACTCGTTTGTTGCGATTTTTCAGTGGTTTCATGTTATATTAGGTCTGTAGGTGTCGGGTGGGTCTGGGTTCCTTTCTTCTTTCTTGTTGTTGATGTTGTTTGAGTAAACTTATCCTGTAGCTTGGTTTTAGTTGTAGGTGTAGGTATTAATTTGGTTTGAGTCTTGTACCTGCAGATAAAATTGGTAGTTCCCCTGGAGAAAAGTCGAAATGTAGTCCGTCGATAATTACCAGTGGCATCAGATAAAGTACAGATGGCTTACTAATAGGAAACATGGTATTAAGCGTCTTACTTGCTTGGTGGCTAGAAAAAAAAGCTGATCTGATTTGGCTGTATGACACTGTGATGCCTTACAAGGGTATTTATACAAGTTTTCCTTAGTTAAATTTAGAAAAACAACAACAAAAAACCTCAAAATACCGTACATATAATTAATTAGGAGATATTAAACCTTCCCTTGTCATTTGTCGATATTTTATGATACGTTATTCAATGGATGTATCCTGTAGTTTTAAACATTGACTTATGCTGAACATCATTTTAGTCACTGTCTGTCATAAAAAACATTTAATCTATCTTTTACTCCCAACCCAGTGGCTCAGTAGTAAGTATTCATTCTTACGACGTTAAAAATCAGGTTTCGATACCCGTGGTGGGTAGAACACAGCTAGCCCATTGTGTAGCTTTGTGCTTTAATAACAACCAAATCAAACCCAATTACTTATGTTTTATTAGTGGCTGTTACTCAACAACTTAGCTTTCCTAAATCAATGACATATATATATCCAACTGAAGATAGCTACTAGCCGACGTTCAACAATCTCGATTACTGAGTGATATCTTTCTTTCTAGGCCTAGCCGATGTTCAACAGTTTTGAGTACTGAGTGATATCCTTCTGTTTAGTCCTAACCGATGTTCAACAACCTTAAGGTCACAACGGGAGAATAGTTTTACCTTTCTTTCGTTACTACTTAACATTCGAACTTTCACAAATAAATTATGAATATCATTTATTTCCTTATCACTGGCTTATACCCTTTCTTCGCTTAGATATTTTCCAAAATTTAACATCTCTCATGTCATTGGCAGACATACGATTCTTCCCTTCTCAATCTTCATATCCTATCAGCCATTTGTAACTACCTAATATTCATCCTTTTTTTATTCTAAGGTATCAGCTAATGATCAAAAGATGATATTCAACCTTGCCTGGACTCTTGCAGATGTTCTTTCTTCCATCAAAAGCTGGTATACATCTTCTCCAGATCATTAACAAGTATCTTATCTTTCTTTAGTCACTGATACCCATTGTTCCGCAATAAATCGCACATTTTAAATCATTAACTGATACATAGTCAGCCTCTTTAAATCATATAGATTTCCCGCCTTTCACAGATCACTATATACGCAGTTCTCATAATAAGTGGTACATCTACATTTCTTAACTACTGGCTGATATTCAACCTTTCCTGATTCATGGTGGATATTACACAATGTTTAATCGTTATAATCATCAGAGTTACACTAAACAAAATGTGACGTGGTTGAGTAGAAGCTAAACTGAATGTAAATTCAGTTTTACAGCACATGTATAAAATGATACCATGTGGGAAATGTCAAGTATTTTGCTGTCTTATGAGATATAACCTTTTGTTTTAACTAAAATTAATTATACATTATGTTAAATGTATTATATTTGTTAATGCAACATTGTTATCTAGTCATCATATCCATTGCCGACGACGCGTTTTGTTCAATCCAAAACTCTTCACGCCGGCTTAGATACAACGGACACAGTAGTGGTCGAAACACTATTTATATAGGCCATCTGTTACAACAGCACTTGTAATGGTATGAACGCCTCTTATAAGTTGGTGAACTACTATTGAAATACTATTATTACACACTCTTCAAATGATTAAAAACCCCGAAGGGAATAGATTAAGAATGTAGTGTTAAGAATATAATAAGCCTAAAATAATGGCTTATGACAATTATAACCAGCTTGTAAAAAGCACTCACACCATATAATTATTTGAAGTACAGCAGAATTTTGACTTTTGTTTTAGCGTTTTAGTATTGTTCTGTGCTGTTGAGTTAAAATTATCCAGGTAAAAACCACGCAACGGGTTGTTTCATGTTTATCAACAGTTTCAATGCAGTGATTATAGGTATATTATCAGAGTATATAATTGTAATTAAAGTATCAGAATAAAATATATAAAAATAATGTTTTGAAACATTGTGACATGTTAATCAGCTTTTACAAGTTGAAGATGTAGACTGGTCTAATTTTACGAAACCTTACAATACTTTAATCAGTATTCTCTCCACAGTTATTAACTATACTCAGCTTGTCAAATTAGTCTTACGTAACGTTGAATTACGCCAAAGTGTAAAGATAGCCAAAAATTACGAATTCATTGTTTACAACCACGCTTATCATGATACTAGAAACACAATACTCGCGTAAAAGTGTATCAACGTTAATAAATTCTCGCAAATAAAATGGACCAGAGATGACGTGCCTTTAAATTTATCATACCAGTAGTCAAACAAGGTCTAATAATTCTTGAATGAATGTTGTTACACAAGAAGTGAGAATAAAAAAATGGATAAAAGATAATAAAGAATAAATTGACACATTTGAATGATGACATTTTCTAGTATATTTTGTGCGACGTTTCGGGCAGACGCCCTTCATTAGGCAGTATCGATCGCGTTACAATAGAATTAGACTAAAAAAGAATCGCTGAAAGTTAAGAAAATACAAAGTGTATTTTCTTAATTTTCATTTTCTGAAGAAGTAAAATTAATTTCAATATTAGACTTCCAACTAGCGTAGATAGTCTAATTGCTTTGTGCCAAAAAGAAAAAAAAATAACGATTTTCAAATTAATTTAGCAGAACATCCAAATATAGGACTTTCAATAAATAGAGAAAACAAATCCACTGAATTGTTTTATACAGACTTTACAATAACAATAATAAAGAAATATCAAGAATAAACTACGTATCAAGTGTTGTCCCCATCAGGGATATTAATATTTCCCATATTACACAATCATCATGTTGAATGTTATTGCAGACCGTCAGTATTTTTGTCACTTTTTTGTCTCAGGTTTGCATTAGTTCTAAATATGTTTATCATTTCGTATAAAAATTTTTCTGCCCTTAGAAAACATACAACATAATTACTTGACATTTTAAATCTTCGTTACTGAACTTTGCTTAATTAATAGACATTAAAATTTGATAAATGTTGATTCTATAATTCTTAGGAAAAGTACAACATGAATAATGAGAAGTAACATAATTAAAAACTAATGTTCGCAAAATGAATAGTAAATCAAACCTAAATATGACTATAAATTTATTATTATTATTACAGAAAAAAATCGCGTTTAATAGAAACGAATTTAGTATCTGACCCATTCTGTCATATGATAAATAAAACAGAAAGGGACCTGATATTTAGAACCTCACTAAAATGATGTGTAGTTTTATTAGATAGGGTTGGAAAATGTAGGTCTACGTGTAACTTAAATATAATAACTTCAAACTCAATGAACAACGTTACCAGTTTTTTATTTTAACACCAAGGTTTCATAAAGGCACAGCCCGTAAACTTGAGAGACAATTGTAGTAAAAGAAGTTTGTGAATCTAAGCTAAATTTTTATACTATTCTTGCTTCATTTTGGGTTCGTATATAATTTTGTTTTTCACGGATCCTTTGTTAACGTAGTCCGGTCTACAGAGACTAACCTCTTCTTCTTCATACAACATATTGTTTATTGCCTCTACTCCTATCATTAAACTGTGGTCTTGATTTGCTACTTCATATTTGTAACTTCCAAAGCGCCCTCTACTCCAGACTGAATGATCTTTAAGCCAAGGGAGTGCCACTTCTAGAACGCCATCACGATCAATGTGAGGGATTGGATAACCATGATTTTCCTTTCGATAATGAATTGACACAATCTCGTCTTCAGACTCCATTAAACCAACGTTGATTGCACCCAGTATGGTATCATATACAATGGTATCTTTGTTGACTGGCTTGTGTTCACTCTCACTTACTTCCACCATAATAGACCAATATGGTCCCGGTGCCACAATATTGTCGTTTACAGGAGTAATTCCCATTTGAATAGTTGGCAAAAGTCGATCAGCTGGCGGAGCATTACCTTCCCCATATTTGGAGAAAATGGTTGCTCTGTAAGAGGGGCAGTTGTCTTCTGGATAGTAAATCCAGTTTGCGTGCACACGAGGCTGATGTCCTCGAAGTCCGATTCCTATGATATGTGTTTTATTGTGTTTGAGTTGATCTGCCAGTTCTGGCTTTCCAACAAGCTTAAGCGTGTAGTCAAGAGGCATTGTAGATAGCAGCTTGTTGTACCGAAAACTCTCCCCACTCTCAAGTCGAACTTCTTTTTTATGTAAGTTAAGGGCTATAACTTTGGAGCTAAATTTAATTTTTTCTTTTGGCAGTAGACTTGCAACTGCCTTCCAGATGGCGCCAGTTCCGCCTTGTTGGGGAAACCGAAAAGTAGCATTAGGTCCCCATCCTGCATCTGCCTTTTTCAACAAAACGTTCTTGATTGCACGATTAACGTCGACAGTTGCCACCCTTTCTCCTAGCCACTTACACTGCATAAGAGTTGTGGGAGTAGCCCATACTTTGAAGTTGTAAGGTCTCATGAAAATATTTGCAATCCCTTTGCCCATAACCCTGAGAATCCATTCATCGAAAGTCTTGGGTTTACCACAAGCCGTAGCAGATTCTAGTTGAGCTTCGATTAAGCCAGTAATACATTCTATCTGGTCCTCTACAGGAAGCTGACTAATGTTGTTTTGGAAAGGATACGGTATATATCGCCCTTTGGTGTAAACGTAGCTAATTCTTTCATGAAAAGCCCAGTTTTCAGTTCCTGTACCTAACGCGTGATATAAGAGATCATCAAAGTACTTGTAGTGACTGAAAACCACGTGGACACCTATATCAAATAAAAATCATTCTGGTGTGACGTCGGTAGCTGCTAATCCACCAGGTTTGTCAAGTGCGTCGATCATTAGCCAGTTTTCGTGGTTTAGTTGGTGGAGTCTAGTGGCGGCCCCAAGTCCAGTTGGACCCGATCCGATAATTAAAATATCCACTTCCTTTGAAAACTCCATTCTTGTTATTAAATTTGTTAGCTGCACAGAGAAAATGAAAAGTAAATTTTTTCTACAATAAAAAAGGAAGTTTGTGTGTTAAAATATTACATATATATATAATTATTTGTCTATGTAATTTTGTTTGTAATTAAGTACAAAGCTACACAATGGGCTATCTGTGCTCTGCCCACCACGGGTATCGAAACCCGGATTCTAGCGTTGTAAGTTCACAGACATACCGCTGTGCCACTGGTGGGCATTCTATGTAATAAACACTGCCAATACATTAAAAAAAATCCATATTTTTAGCTCAATTTCCTTTTTTATTAAAAGGTGTACAATAAGAATCATTACTAAACTAGAAATTGTATATTTTCCTTCATTACAGTATTAGAAAAATTGGCTTCAGTCAGTGGAGCCTATTTTTAGCTTAATGGTAAACAATCACAAAAACATGCCATAGATCATGATTAATATTACGCAAACGTGCATCTGTACATGCACATGCATGTTTCATAACACGCAAAATATTCGAATGAGGAATTGTTCTATCCCATTTCGTAACACACATGGTAATGTTTCACAAAATAGGTTAAATATGTTTTGTTTTTGCGCAAAGCTACACGAGGGATATTTGCCCTAGCTGTCCCTAATTTAGCAGTGAAAGACTAGAGGAAAGGCAGCTAGTGATCATCACCCACCGCCAACTCTTGGGCTATTCTTTTACCAACGAATAGTGGGATTGATCGCCACATTTTAACGTCCCCACGTCTGAAAGGGCGAGCATGTTTGGTGGGATGGGGACTCGAACTCGTGCCCCTCAGATTGCGAATCAAGCGCCCTAACCACCTGGCCATGCCGGGCCAGGTTGAATACGAAAGCCAAGAAAAACTATCTTGATCTTTACCTATGAATTATTATTCAATGATTAATTCATAGAACAAGGGTAGAATAAACGATTTTTGGGGGGAAGAGGTGAGAAAATAGTTATTACATATAACACCACGGGTAACATTATGGGACACTCACTATGTATGAAAAATTCCGTATAAGTTGTAAGGTCATATTGTGGGCCGAAATTACTTTTTCAAAAGTTTAGTTTCATACTCAAAATTTTTATGTCCCCAAAATTTGCCCATCATTCAACCTGATAGGTAAAAAAAAGTCGCGTACTAAAATTGTATAAAAACATTGTCTACCGCATATCTACGATGTATATACAGAGTATTGTTTATATCTATAAAATCATATTCTTATCTAGTGTTTTAAAGCTCACACATGTACTTATAACAGAATAAAGGCGACTTAAACTATTTATTAATTATTCGACCGTTATACCTAAAATAGGTGTCAATGAAGTAAGAAGATCTGTTAGTTTGTAGGCAGAGAACAGGAAGCTACACAATGGGCTATCTGTTCTCTGCCTACCACGGGTATCGAAACCCCGTTTCTAGCGTTGTAAGTCTACATACATATCGCTGTACCACTTGGAGGGGGGCGAGAGAAGTAGAAAAATAATTATTTACAGTTGTAGATTTATTGTACGATACCGCGTAATGTTTTAGCTCACTGATAATAAGAAACAAAAAATAAAATTATAAAATATGAGCATTATCTCTCAAAAGTACTTGCAGATATAAACATATGTAATTAATTTGACGAGCTGTATTTATAGGACGTACGAAGTGCACTTTACTATGGAAGTTTCTATCTATTGTTATAGCCCAACTGTATTGTTTTACGTTAGCGTCATAAAAGAATCAGCAGTTTAGAGTTTCAAAATTACCGAGTAATGAGAAGATGTAAAGCAAATTTGAAAAGTATTTGTTTATTGTTGGAAAATGTAACGCATTAAAAAAATTTTAATTGTAATAGTCCGTCTGAGCGGCATTTTCAGTATATGTGGTCTAATTAGTCAGATCAGAGAGCTCACAGTTAAGCTGTAACTACTGACTAAAGAGAAGGCATCTAGCCAAGACACATGTTGATACAACAGTCTTGTCCATTTTTCTTTTTAAACCGAGTAACGGGATTGACTGTCATTTTAATAATGTGCCCACAGGTCAAAGCGCAGACATTGTTTAACAGCATCATGTCTCGAATCTTGGATTTGTATATGCATCCTGATAATCCATCCACTAGGTCTCGCCCAGCTTGTTATGGAAATGATACCATGCAACGTTTTAAAAATGTAAACTTTGGCAGAGTATTAGGGTTGATATATAATGGTGCAATAAAATATTCGTTAAAGTAGAATAGGCTATGCATGTCACACTAGTTAGATTGCCAAGCTGTGGCTCAGAAAATCAATGTTTCTAAACATAATATATCGCTGATATCTTTTTTGGTTTGGAGATGTTATAATAGTTACAGCCAATCACTCTACTCGATTTAGTATAGCCGTGTGGGTGACAGAAGCTGGTGACAGCTTGCCCTTGTTCTGATCACGTATTTCTAAAATAAAGATGGCTGTGCTTAGCTTAGAGAGTTTCTGGTATGGCTGTATAACCCATAACGCATAAGGCTGTATAACGCATAAGGTGAGGTTCAGTTTGAAAATATGAAAATACCAAAAATGTAAAAAAAAACAAATTTAATCTATTATTTTATTATGAATTTAGGAATATTATAGATTTTCGATCATCTTCATTCTTACAGGATTCTAAAGTTATTGTGTTTGAGTGAATTAGAACTGTATATGAACACAAAAAGGTAAATAGATAAGAGAGGGCCCATCAGACAAAGAGAAAGCAACATGCAAATTGAGCAGTTTGAACACTTTTTATCTATTAAATAGCCCCCCCCCCAGTAGCACAGCGGCATGTCTACGGACTTACAACATTAGAAACCGGGTTTCGATACCCGTGGTGGGCAGAGCACGGATAGCCAATTGTGTAGCTTTGTGCATAAATTCAAACAATCTATTAAATATCTTTCTCAACCCCCAAAACAAGCTGTCAACAAAGTGCTGTTGGTGTTCATGCAATACGTGAAAGAATTTAGTTTAGTCAAAGAAATCGCTTCTTGAAGACGAGTATACTGTGAGCACTCAATGTTTTTTTATATACACGGTTAACCTGGACGGTCTGAGACCAAAATTATTTTCCAGAAATGTACAATTTGCTCATCTTAGCGTATTTAAAATCGAAACTATTTGCACTTCTATCTGCAAAAATAATATTTTTTTTTCTCAACACACAATTTGAATGCTTTCACGTCGGTGTCATTAGTACGTAGGCACCAATACCGTACACAACTGTATTTGTTGCAGTAACGGTTATGAACAATCTGCTGAGCAAACAAAAAAAAATCTTAGCTTAGTTAAATTTTAATCAAATGTTTATATTTGAAATAGTATCATTTTATGTCATAATATGAGAAAAGTAAGAAAAATTAATTAAAAGCATAAAATGTTTTTTTATTGATAATCTTCAATCCATTCGTTTCTGTATGTGTGTATCTCGAAAAGAAGTTAAAGATTAAAAAATTATTAATAAATTTGTTTATGGAGTGTAATCTAAAGTTAGGCATATTTCATGGTCTGTTTGGATTGTTAAGTGCAAAGCTACACAATGGCTATCTGTGCTGTGCCTACCACGGGTATCAAAACCCGATTTTTAAATTTATGAACTTTCAGACTAGCCTCTGAACTACTGGGAAAATATTTCATGGATCATTGTTGTTTAAATAAAGGTTCTTTATATGATAATTATGTTAAAACATAGAAATATTTCAACTTTTGTAATGAACAGGTATTTGGAAAACTTCTGTGTATTGATGTGTATTTGATAACTTACACGTAATGTTTCTAGAAAATTCTTATAGGATCGTTTGTAAATCATACATCGTAGATATTATACACAAAAATATGGTCCGATTGTTCAACGATTGTGCAAGTCTAAATGCTTTTGGTTATTCATTAGTAAACTTACTTGATAAAAAACACCCAACTCCAATTATAACGAATCGTTCCTACGTCAACTGTGGTCGGTCTTCGAGTGATTATTTTTACAGGTGTAAGAACGTACTATTTTCGACATTTTGAACACGTGACAAGTCTATTCTATTTTTGAAAAGAAACTGCAGAAGTAGTTGGCTGTACTTGCCTTTGAAGCGGCTACTCTTAACCGAATAGCACGATTCATTGTATACCAACAGCTGTAAGTCCGATATCCCAACAATGGTTTCCAAAACCAGACATATATATGCAAAAGAAGAACAGAATTTGTCGCAGTTTAAATACTTAGAGTAATTAGATCATGCCCCCAGTGGCACAGTGGTATGTCTGCGGACTTACAACGCTAGAAATCGGGTTTCGATACCCGTGGTGGGCAGAGC